GAAGCAACCCAAACCTCTGGAACGACAAACTCCATCGTGAAGTTTCCCGCACATGCTGCACTGACCCCGTTGGGGCAAAGTTCAGATATGCTTCCTGCCTATTGAAGGACAGGGCATAAGATTAGTGGGAAGAGGTTGGTAGCAAGTTTGGTGATGATGTTGTTAATGCTATGTAATGGGATGACTTATCGACCAGAAATATACCCGAAATATACCCTTGACCTCCGAAGACATAATCAAACACTTGGATCACTTAAACCATAACACTCACACCCGAGAAGGGCCAAATTCTTCCTTTCCCAAGGCCCTAGGCCTCATTACCACTGAAGATTGGGACGCAGCCCCAAATAAATAAGCAAATCCGAAACCGAGTGTTACCTTTGTCTTTATATGTGTGTGAATTAGTAAGAGAGACATATGCTAGGGGTTTACAGAATTGATAGGTTTGAACCTTGAGTTCTAGATTTGGAAAAAAATGAGTTCATCAAATGGTGATGACTAGTAGTGGTGGCGATGTTAGGCGGTGGTAGTGGTTTGGTCTGTTCAGAGAAAGAGGGGGGTAGGTGGGTGTTGGGTCTCGCAATAAAGATTCGGTTTATAACCAACTTGATATTTCAGGTTTATAACCGACTTAAAATTATGTTTCGAAAGCACTGTGTTAATGATGTGTTAATGATCTGAAATTATTTTTACCATGATTTTAGTGAAATACCAACAATCAATAACCTTATTGATAGAGAAACAATTTTTGTTTTGCAATACTATCTTCATTTCATACAATTCTTTCGTACATATTTTTTTTGCATTTCATTAAAATCCTTGATTGTTAAAATATAAACCAATTTGAACTTAGATTTTAAAAAGTATGTGTTGATGATACTCTCGTTATTGTCGTGATTAATGTGAAACACCAAAAACCATACCCACTTTTGTCTATTATGCTCAAGCAAAATCAAACTTATGCACTTAAAACCCTTACGATTTCTGGTAAATACCAACTAGAAATTTATGTTTTACAAAATCTATGTTTGTAATCATATATTATTTTTGCCATAATACATGTGAAACACCACAATCACTACCTATTTTTTCTGTAACGTCCCAAAAATACTGAGTAAAATTTCATTTTTCAAACATCCAAAAACCATTCATTCATTTATTCATAAAGTAATCAAACTATAAAGTTTTCTTAAAACATCGGGATAAGGTCATAAAATTTCATGTGTTTATTTAAATCAACGATTATAATTTTATACAAGGTTCTAAAAAACGTAAGACGTAATTTAGTGGCAATGTCAAGCCTCAAATTTTTACAAGTCTTGGTGAGCCACATCGTTTGTAAAACGTGACTTAAATCGATAGTTTTGTGTATAATTGATAATTTTATATGTATGTTTAGCTATTATATATATATATATATATATATATATATATATATATATATATATATATATATATATATATATATATATATATATATATATATATATATATATATATATATAGACTTAAGTCGACAATTTCTCAAAGTTGGGCGGAAAGTACAAGTCTTAGAGTCATGACGAGCTTTTTAGAACTTTGATTTTTTATAACTAAAAAATTATCTTTTAATTAATAACTTATTTAAAATAATTGATTAATAATTTTGATTTTTTTACTATAAAAAATTAATTAATTTTGTAATTATTGTTTTTACGGGTTATAAACTAATTTAAAATCAACATAATATACAAATATAAAAGACTATTAAACTATTTAAGGCTTAGTGATGCAAAAATAGTATTAAAATTTTAAATGAATATTAGATACAAATATAAAATCGCCTTAATCTATGTGGACTATTTTTAAGCTTCATATCTTTAATATATATATATATATATATATATATATATATATATATATATATATATATATATATATATATATATATATATATATATATATATATATATATATATATATTAATAAATAAATAAATAAATAAAAAATACATGGATCACTTTTACAATTACTCTAAATTCTATATCGATAGCTTTCGCTCACAAAGCTTGGACTCTTGGAGTGCTACAGCATCGCCATGGCTTCCTACATCGCTTGAAAGGACATACAATAAAGCCTCCTTCTTTAGCCGACCTCCTATAAATTTGGAACGATACAGAGAAATGACCAAAAACATTTTTTCGTAAGCATCAAAATCCAGTGATTTTTGTGATATTTCCCTTACGAGCTTAGGATATGTACGCTGTATGGTATCGATTTTTTCTCACGAGCTTTGGTAAGGTAAGCCGTATGGTATAACCCGTTCGTTTTGTTCCTTGCTAAATAAATACTCTCATATGAATTATTTCATGGCATCAATTGGCAATCAAGAATGAAGACAACTTAGAAAATTTTGGGTATTTATAGCCCTATATGCACTTACGTAAATTGATTTATAGCATCAATTGTTGATTGAAATTTGCATTTTGTTGCTTGATCTGGGACTCATTATATTATAGTTAGGAGCAAAAACAGTTATTAAGATTCCTAGGAGCAAAAATATTGATTGCAAGAACAAAAAATGTCAATATAGGTAAAGAATAAGGAGCAAAGTGCACGGACCAGTTTACTATTTTTAAGCTTCAAGAATCAAGCACACTGCACTCATTTATTCATGGATTAAGAAAACTCATTGTCAGACTCCTTGTGATTGATAATTGTATGTATCTGACTCTCAATGGAGTTATGTTTGGTCATGACAACAAAGGAAAGCAATGTGTTTGGCCATGAGACGATGACACTCTGGGCACCGCACGTTATTAGGGACTCTACCTGCTGCGGGAAACTCAAATCGGCAGCACACTGTTGCTGGAACATGAGTCCTATCAAGGTATGCTGTAAACGACGAATCAAACCCCTTTGATTCAATACTTGTATCCCTATTCATAAAGCCATCTAGTGCTTCCATGATTGTGGTTCCATTTCCACTGGTCAGAATCTTTGATCCTCTACACAACAAAGCCCATTCCTTGTCATAGCTTACAAGTTTCATGATTTGTTTCATCATGGGGTCTTCAGGATCTGCCCTTTTTACTTGATTCTTGGAGTACAACATGCTCTCTAATCGTGTCCAGAAGAACCGCATGGTCTGTTGTTGCCAGCTGTCACTAAGCTTCTCGATTTTAATGACATCAACAGCCCTACGCACACTTTCCTTCTCCTTTTTTTGACCGACATACACCATCTCTAATGGGATCCAGGAATCAGTCGCCATTGCCCGGGTTTTGCTGGTGAATTTGCGGATCCAATCGATATCATCACCTCCAAACAGGAATATGTGTTTGTCTTCTTTTATCTAAGAAAAATGTAAAACACCCATTATGATATAAAATTGTTTAATGATGATAATTAGATGAAAGAACTACGTAACTCACCCAGTTGAGTATTGTGGGGTCCATGCTACCAACGAGGAACTCTAGCCTCCAAGTCTCATCCCTCCACAATAGTTCCTCTTTCAAGCTGGTGAAAGGGAAGGCATTGTTCCCCCAAATCAACATCATGTGGATGGCATTAGGGCTCAGTTCCCTTCCCTGTGGATCCAAAACCACTACTATAGGCCTGTTCCTAAAGTGCCACCTGTCTCCTATGGACATGATAACTGCCCTGTCGATAATGGAAGGGTGGGACACAGAGTACCATGGCATTTTGTTCTTCATCTCCTCAAATTTCCTGTCGATTTCATCTGTGTACTCTACAGAAAGGCTAACAATGGGCATCCACACGACCTCATACAGAGCTTTTCCCCTTGCTCCCTGAATGCGAGACTCCATGTAAATTTCTTCAAGAATCGATAGCTCCTCACTAGACATTTCTACCCCTGATATCAGCAACAGCACGTTCTTCTTCCTCAGGAATTCCAGACTAACCTGTGTGAGCGCAAAACAATACATACATCACTATATATATATATATATATATATATATATATATATATATATATATATATATATATATATATATATATATATATATATATATATATATATATATATATATATGTATGTGTATATTTACAGATAAATTTAGATACACTTAATAGATACTATACCCTCTTCTTCATTTTGCCATCAAAGAGTGGTAGTATATCATCCCTGGGCGTAATCAAGATTTTGAGGATTTTCATGTTATCCATATAGCTTGTTTCAAATAGTTGACTGAAAGACCTCCTGAATTCAATTTCTTTCTTGTCTCCTGCATCAATCAAACAAGAAGGTACCCAATACTCTCTACATACAATTAACCAAAACGTTTTGTGTCAACATACCAACAACACGTTTATAATTGTCCAGTTTTTGCCTGAGAAACTCATTTATGCGATCAATCTTTACAGTCAATGTCGATAGTTCCCATAATTGCAACGCTGAAGACGAAACCATAATCCTGAAATCCTGTTACTTTATAAGTGTATTACATTATGAAGGTTAGTTATTTTTTGAAATGGGGTAAAGTCTATTTACTCATGGTCTTTGATGGTCAAGTCAGCAATCATAGTCGCACACATGATGATGGCTCTGATATTCCAGTAGACAGCAATAGGAATGGTGTTGATTGGTGGCAAATCGAGAGTTATGTCCATAGATGGAAGCTCATTGAATTGGATAATACATCTCGTCAATTCCAAAATTGAGTAAACGAGTTTATTAAGGGCATCAAGCTGAGGTTTCAATAAAGCCGTATGCGCCATGATTGTTTGAATAGATTTAGCAAGTTGGTTTGATGAGTGCATTTGAGTCAGCATCCATAATTCCTTGTAATTGATAGCTAAAGCTGCTAGGGTTAGCACCAACTTTGCATCCCATTGGAATTTGCTCACCTTTTCTAATACTGCAAGGGCTGTTGTGTGCCCGTCCCGAGGTAACTTCAACTGAAAAAAAAAAAAAAAACATTTTTATAGAATTATAAGTATAGAGATAAATGCAAAAAGAGCAATGCACTTCATCTTATTTGTTTATTATAGCATCCTACTTTCACTTTTTTTTATATTACAAAATACAAATTTGATTTTGTAATAGGAAAAAGTGAAAATATATACATTGCTATTTCTTGCATTAATCCCTATCCATATGGATAGATTTTAGATTGTACCTCACTGGTGATTTTGTCTATTATGTGAGACTGTGAATCGAGCATTACAACAACATCGGTTTGATCGAGTCCACCATTCGGTATATCTTTATTTGTATGTGGACCCTACCTCACATAAAAGAAACTTCTTATTTAGGCTGCCCAAGTTGTGCTATAAATGGTACAAGGACTGGCTAATAATAATATAATACATGAATACAAAGTGTTAATGTTATTACAAGGGACTTGATTCTATGGCTTCAGTTTTTACGTAGGACATTATAAAAATGTCAACTTTTTGTCCTACCCAAAAATATTGGAATAGCGACTCAATCTCTCAGTCTTTGCAAAAGGCCCTTCTCATAGATGAGAATGTGAACTGGTGTATAAGATAGTAATATACCGATGAAATGGGATCAGCTTTAATGGTGGCATGCGGGAGGATGTCTTCTGTGATTTTCAGAAGAGATTTGACATCAACCGCAGTGCCATCAGGGTAATGCGTGTCCATAACTACTTTCATTATTACATTGATGTCTGATGCGCTGAAGATCGACCTTCCATCAATTCTGGTGGTCTGCAACGGATTATGTTCGGGACCCACCATCTGATGTCCCTCCAGGTTTTGTTTTTGTTTTTGTTGTTGCAGAAGGTTTGGGGGGGGGGGGATTGGTGTTGGGTGTCGAGTACTTATTTTGGGTATATGTAGTTAGTATGGAATAACTAAGTGAGAGCAAAGCTTATGAATCCACTTCCTTGCTTCTACTAGTAAAAAAATTATTCTTTTGATACTTTTTAGGCTTTTGGCTATATGCAAGATATTAGGATCCACTTTCTTTTATTTCTGTATTAACTTAAAAACCGTGTAAACTTAAAATAGTAACAACAATAGTAACAACTTAAAATAGTAGCAATAATACATAGTAGTTAATTAACTTGGTATACAAGAGTAAACGGCGGCCCACATTGTTATATAAGCTACAGCGGCAAATTGTTTTTTTGGAAAACTTGCCATGTTCAAAGAACACGACAAAAAACATTTGGTCGGTTTTGGGTTTGTTGGAAAAATGGTACTAATGAATATTTATTAACCAAAGGGTTTCTAGCCCAGCGGTACCCGGTGTTGCCTTCCCTCCTTGAGGTTGAGGGTTCAAGTCCTGTTCTGGATATAGGTGGATTTAAGGTGTAGTTTAATAGTAGGTTAGATTTGCCATTTCAAAAAAAAAAAATGAATATTCATTAAATTAAACCTTAATTTTTTTACTTTAATAGATTCCAAATTATTTTTCCACCAAAAAACTTAATTTTTTTTAATTAGACAATAAATTTTATTAATGATCATGGAATTGTTTTTATAAGTTGCAAAATTATTCTTAAATTTTAGAAATAGCAAAAAAAAAAAAAAAAGGATAGCTTCTTTTAGGTTTTAAAGGTTTATGGAAAAAGTATTTCAAAACTCATAAATTATTTGGCAACTCATAAATTTCAATGTATGTATACTTCAGAAAAAAAAAATGTAATTTACAAGTTAAAAATCTATTTCACATTTTGTAATTTTTGATCATTTTTGTTTTCGTTAAAAGTGTTCAAAATGTAAATGTGATTAACCAAAATGGTTGTTTTGGTAAATATATGCAAAATAGTTTAATATCTTCAAAAAAAAAAAGTAGCTATTTTTTATTTATTATTAGTTGCTCTATTAATGTGGTATAAATATGTGGTTCTCTATTTTCCTCATAAGCCTCTTCACTCCTATTTCAATTTAAAAAAAGATCTATTTTCCTCATAAGCCTCTTCACTCCTATTTCAATTCAAAAAATGCATACAGTAATTAGATATGTATATTAAGTTTCCTTCTTTTTAATGAAACATCATGAAGTTTTTTTAGGGGTAACTTACACCTATTGTCACTCGTACATATGCCAAAAAATGTGTTTAGTCGCTATTTTCAAGATGTAACTCGGACCATCCTCAGTTGTATTTTTTCTTGCACAGTTATTCCCAATAAACATTAAATGTTAAATGTTTTGTTTAAGTGCCCCATGTGTCTTGCATGCAGGCGTCTTTTTTGTCTTTTCAGGGGTGGTGTACCTTCTTAAAGTCATTGCATCTTGAAAGCATACACAATCCTGCATCCATCCCTTCCTCCGATATCGTCTCCTTCATATAACTTCTCCCCTGATCACCAACAATTTCTTCTAACTTGATAAGAATAATGGATATAAAATGCAAGTGTGGAGCCATTGCAGTGATTCATACATCTTCTATCAAGAAAAACTCTAGGAAACTATACTATGCTTAATGTAGAGGTAAATACAAGTTTGTTATTGATCTTCTCTAATCGTGCCCTAATTCTTACAAGATTTAACTGATTCAGGGACCAACATGCAAGTTCATAGGATGGGTGAATGATTTTGATCAAACATGTGATTATATGGAGTTTAGGCTGAAACTTGAAAAACAAAATCACAAATTAAAGTTTCACGTAGTTATTAGTTGTTTTTTTTTTTTGTTTTTTTTTGTTTTAGTCCTTATATATAAAGTGTGGGTTTTGTAATGAAGTTCATAGTCTTTTGTTATGCGTATTGTATTGATATTTGTATTATGAAAAAACCCTTCAAACTAATGACAATGTGTTGATTTTTCGTAATCAAGATGTGGTGTTCTAAGTATGTGTTGAAATGTAATGAAAACATGGTTTTTATTATCCAAAATAGCAACATGTGCAATATTTCATTCAATGCCTTTGGTGTCTAATATAGCAACAAAGTTTTAAGCGAAGGGACAAAGCTTCAAATATCATCAAAATGTGGTTTTTCACGATCCAAAATAGCAACAGCTGACCATTTACCATTAAATAACACAAACATCCAAAGTAGCAACTTAGTGTTAAAGCATACATATACTTATCATACATAGCAACAAAGTATCGAATACCAAAGATAAATAACAAAGTAACAAGGAAATCAATACCTAACAAAAAAATAGTGATGATCCAAATGCCAAACTACAAATTTTCAAATCAAGGGGCTTTTTCCCTTCTACCCATCTTCTTTTTAGACACCTCCCCTATTTCTAACTCCTACACTACTACCTACTACACATTGTCATGTTGCATTCCCAGTATGTGATTGTCCCTTGCAGCTCCTTCCATTACGATCGTTTTAAAAAAATTATTTATGCTCATTTTAAAATAAGAGAATCCTTTTTGAAGAATATTATTGCGGAATTTGTTCCCAAAAATATGACAATGATATTATCAAAGCATTTCCGAAGAAATGTATTTTATTTATATTAAAACGTTGGGATGTCATTTTCAATACAAGAACATAAGCATAACAAAATATTACAAGCCTTACAAAAGTTAAACTAATGGCCTAATACTCCTTGAATCTCTCAAAAAATATGTATCTTTATATTGCTAACAAAGATACAATAAAATGAGTGGGTCGGGTTGTGAAACCTGGTTAGCACATAGAGATTTTTATTTATAGGTTGCCAAGAGACCCAACACGTTGAACTCAAATTACATTGGGCGTACTCAGTACGATGGGCATACACAAATTACATTGGGCATACTAACGGCCACCTGCCAGCATCTGGTGACAAGTCGTGTGGAGGAAGGGGGTGTACTAGATTGCGACACGTGTCGCACCAAGGTTAATCCGAAAATTAATTATCTTATAAAATTCATAAATTTCGCATAGGAGCTCTATTTTATACATTCTTCATATCCACGCATAGCTATCGATGAGATCTACAACGTTTGTTTAGAATCTGTCAGCTAATTTTGAATTTATTTTTAAAGATATATTTTAACACGCTTAGACAGTTACAATCCATTAAAAATTCATAACTTTGTCATCCGACGTCCATTTTTGAGTGTCTTTATATCGTTGAGCTCTTATTAACAAGATCTTCAATCATTTACATAGTGTCGGCTAATAATCGATCGATCTAAAATTCGATTTTTGAGTTGTACATACACTGAATCTTAGAAAAATCATAATTTTCTCAAATGAAGTTAGATTTACACGTTTTACGATACACACACACTCTCATTTAGATCCCTAAGGCTAAAAATATTTTATAAAAAAGTAACATTTTACAATACACACACTCGTGCCAATTAAAATCGCGAAACTTCAACGGGTCATAACTTCTTCGTTATAAGTCAGATTTCAGCATTCTATATATGTAAAAAATCCTTGTGACATATACTATTACTTTGGTAAAGATTATTTATCCTAAATAATCTTCTATCAAAAGTTCATTTTTAACGCTGATTATCTCTAAATTGACTAGCCTGAATCTACGAGCGTTATAATTATCTCCCCCTTAGAATGATTACATCCTAGAATCATCATCAAAACAAGGCTTTTATAATGAATCCATACGTCATCTTTTCATCCTAGGTAATAACCGTAACTCCTATGTCCTTTCAAATGAGTATCTAACTCTTGGACTTCTTGACTGTTTCGGTACTCAATCTTGCTCCCGCTCTTTATCCTATGTTGGACTTTCACTCATAACCTTCAAGTTACAAACTCGATTCTTATTGGAGACTCCTTCTCCTTTTTAAATAGAATTAATTTACTATAAGTTCTTTACTTCGATTATCGTAACAAACCCATGGGTCATATTCTAATGACCTCTCATCGTATGATACAATCCTCAGACTCATGTCGTTTTTAGTCAGATTCCAGAATGGAAGATACCTTCCTTCATGTTCTAATATGATATAATCACATTTTACTACGTACGTAGCACCTCAAACTTTTTACTTTAACGATGTTCGCTATACTTCTATTAATCGCTTCGATAATCTTGTACTTAAACTTTCTGGCTTAAGTCAAATGCTATATTGAACTTGATTCTCTGAACCAAGTAACATACTTATCTTATTCGTACTCGATTTGATATGACCACCAGGGTCGGAATAACAATTATACTCTTAGTCTTTACCGAAAAGATGATAACGAAAGACATGAACAAAACAGAATCAACTATTAGTAGTGGTAACCTTGTGACTTTCCTTGATCCAAGTGCGAGTCATGTATTTCCGGTAGTATAGGCCTCTACTATCTTTCACACCTACTCATACTCGTCCCAAGAGTTACCTCACAGTCCCCAAGTTCTTATTTTCTAAAATCAAAAAGCTATTTAGCACATACGAGTGTGTCCAAATAATCTTAAACATTTCCCTAGACTCTACTAGGATTTCTTCCATGCATATCTTCAACAACAATTTTGCTTCAAGTTAGTTGGTCATGGAAATGCCGATAGGACAACTTTAGAATTACACCAATCGTTCTATCATCTCGCCAATCAAAGGCGTACATTCGGACGTACCGTACTCCTCTATATGTAATGTTATTTTATCACACGTATTCTAATAGCAATATACCAATCTTACAATATCTTCTGATAGGTATCATTCACTATCGTAAGTTTTCTCATTTCCTCCATTTTCTCAATTTGCTACGAGTCTTCACCATGACGTTATGTTCACATAAGCACGCGTTTATATATCGGGATGAGAATATAGATAGAGAAGGTTTAGACGTGTAATTCTCCTTATTTCTCAAAAAAGTTACATGCCAATTCTAATACCATAATTAAACATTTAGAAACCTAAGCACGTCTTCCCTAAATAAGTTAG